AGTTGTTAACATTCTATCGGCCTCCTGCCTGTCCAGTTACAGGGCTGGAAGACATTTTTAGCTGAAGGTCGCTTGCTCTCTCTTGCACCCTTACAATGAAATCCACAGGTACTTGTAGTAAGACACATCAGTTGTACCACAAAACTGTCTCATTTCTCAAAATCACCACTGGGGGTGATTCACAGCTCACTTTCTCCCTTTGGCCCAAGGCTCTCACAGGCACAACACAGCCTCAACTGAAGTTGCCCTGCATACATTATTTTTAGCCACTTGCATGTTTCAAGCCGTCAAGAGGCCTTTGTTCATAACTTTAAGATTTTTTTTAAATGATTAGGAGGAAAAAAGGCAATGTTAGTCTGTTCATGCCAACTAACAAAAGTTTGCACACGTTTTGTCAAAAGCAAAAAAGCAAACACATTTTAAAAATTTGTTAATTTCAGTTTGTAGATCAAATGGTCTGGCATTAACTATGTAGTTAAAAAAGTAGCAAAAAATTTTGGAGTATTTTGCTGGAGTGAAAAACATTGTCTGAATATGGAGTAATTTATTTCATCGTCTTCCCCATATATATCCTCAATATTGTTTGGTCCTGAAGGCTTGCTATCTTCTTGCATAGCCCATGATTACTCCTCAGCCTGTTCCTATTACATTGCTTCTTCCTTTATATTCTGCTTTTTCCTTAAACTTCCTCTACGAATTTTTTTGAGAGTGGGTATTGCAATTTCCATTTATTAGTTTCAGTTTTGTGGTATTGTAACTTACATTGCTGTTAAAAGCTCTAAAGTTCAGAGTTTTAAAAAGTCTCCCCATACTTTTTCCTTTCTCCTGACAACTTTTCTCCTTCTCCCTCTTGCCAGAACTTTCTCCACTCTATCTTTTCCTTCCCACCTCATCCCTTACATGGATTTTGATTACAGGGTTCCCTCCACCTGTTTGGAGCTACACAGCTTGCAAGGAGAAACATCTCTTCTGTGCAGCAGAAGAGTACGATAGAAAATGTTTTTTATTAAATGTAATCAACCACCTAATTATAAATTGTGGGTAAATCTTGCTATTTTGGGGAACAATGGAAAATGCTGTTTTGGTTTTTTGGACCATGCTCATGCAGCTGTTCCAGGTGTAGCCTGGGAGCTCTTTGGAAATTTCTGGAAACCACCAGACAACCACTGAAAAAGTAGCAGCAGTGTGATCTAAAATGAAACTGAAATTTATTATAGTCTCTGACTAGCATTATAAATAAGAAAGAGAAAACCCATTACCAAAAATATTATCATAAAATAATAGAATGACATATCTAAGTCAAAGTTTTGTGCAGTTGAATGGCTCGATAAAGATATTTGGTAACCTGGAACTTGAGTGAAGAGTTAACATCCCTTAAAAAAATAATGTACATAAAATTTAACTATATGACCCTCAAACCAGATCTTGGAGTATCATATAAAGGACACTATAGAAATATATGGGCAAGAGTTTTTATAGCCATAAGGGAAAACTCTCTGAAGATAAGGAGACTCATGAAATCTATCCACCAACAGTGTGGAAAGAAAAGTATTAGAATAGGCTCAGGAAAAAGCCCATCTGTATTTACTTAGGGTTAGACTGTGTAAATACAGGTAGTCCTTGATTTACAACCATTTGTTTAACAACTGTTCGAAATTATGATGGTGCTGAAAAAGTGACTTATGACTGGTCCTTGTACTTACAACCATCACAGCATCTCCATGGTCATGTGATCAAAATTCAGACACTTGGCAACTGGCATGTACAGTACTGTGCAAAGGTTTTAGGCAGGTGTGAAAAAATGCTGAAAAGTAGGAATGCTTTCAAAAATATATATTGTAATTGTTTATGTTTATCAATTTACAAAATGCAAAGTGAGCGAACAGAAGAGAAATCTAAATCAAATCAAATCAAATCAGTTTTTCAAGGACCTTGGCAGGTAGGTTGTTCCAAACATCTTCGAGAACCACAGATCTCCTGTGGATGTAGGCTGCCTCAAATCCTTCTGTCTTTTCATGTAATCCCAGACAGACGCAGTGATGTTGAGATCAGGGCTCTCTGGGGGCCAAACCATCACTTCCGGGACTCCTTGTTCTTCTTTATGCTGAAGATAGTTCTTAATGACATTGGCTGTATATTTGGGGTTGTTGTCTTGCTGCAGAATACATTTGGGCCAATCACACGCCTCCCTGATGGTATGGCATGTTGGATAAGTATCTGCCTGTATTTCTCAGCATTGACACCATTGATCCTGACCAAATCTTCAACTCCATTTGCAGAAATGAAGCCCCAAACTTGCAAGGAACCTCCACCATGCTTCACTGTGGCCTGCAGACACTCATTATTGTACCACTCTCCAGCCCTTTGGCGAACAAACTGCCTCCTGCTATAGCCAAATATTTCAAATGTTGACTCATCAGTCTAGGGGATCTGCTGCCATTTTTCTGCACTGCAGTTCCTATGTTTTTGTGTACAGTTGAATCACTTAGCCTTGTTTCCACATTGGAGGTATGGCTTGTTGGCCGCAATTCTTCCATGAAGACCACTTCTGGCCAGACTTCTCCGGACAGTAGATGGGT